ATTTATTGCTATACCCCGTCCCGCCCCCTATGGGGGCATCCGGGTATTAATATTTACAAAAATTATAACATGATGAGCTAAAATGTTCTTTATACAGATGAAAAGATGAACATGATGAGGTATATTGCGTTCGTCATATATTTCACTCTATTATTTGCACACGTTTCCATTGGCTTCTATTTAGGGAATTAGTTGGTTTTCATCTTAACTAAATTATTTCTGGTGTATTTTTTTCAAAGTGATCTTTGATGATTTCCCTTATACCCTCTTTTATATTTTTTTAGTTCCAGTATTTCTTTAAATTTTCACAGCTAAGATTTCTGGGAAAGTATAATTTTCTTTTATGTTCATAAGTTGTGAATTTTAGTAGTATGTGTCCCAAGTCGTCTGTAACTAAGCATTGATCGCAATTTAAAGGTTTATTATGAAATCTTCGTTGATAGTCTTTTTGTGTGCCGTGATTGGTTAAAAATTGGTTTATATGGAAGTCGCTATATTGAACTTTATAAGAGACCCCAGGTATTAAACTATGAGTATGTCTGCCCTGTGAGGTTGGGCTGTCCCATCTATTCTGTCATGTTATCACGTCTTGGTTTCGACATTCTAGTCTGACCGATCTTATGGAAGGGAGATTGAATATGTCTATTTTTTCCTTTTCACATGCCTTTTTCGCCCACTTATCTGCTTCTTCGTTTCCTTTAAAACCCGCATGGGCTTTAATCCAGTGTAAGACTATATTTTATGTGTAGTTATTTTTTATTATAGTAGTCATGTAGTCACTATCGGCAGGTTTAGTTAAGGCTTAATTCCTGAAAATGAGTCTGAGTATATTCTTATTGTGTCCTTAATTTCATTTTCGTTAATCCAGAAAATGGCGCTTGTAAAATTGCCCGAAGCTCTGCCTTGTAGACAGTAGAATTGTTACATAATCTGAATGTGTAATGGTCTATGGGATGGCCGTCCATAAAAACTACGAACGCACATCCCACTCTAAATTCACCTCCAAAAATCAGTCGCGATCCATCAGTGAAAATCTCCAGTCCTATATCAGTCGGTATGTTAAGTCCATATGGCATCTGGATATTTTCCGCCGGGTGTTTTATAGGTAACTCCACTTGTTTGTCGATTTCCTTTTCATGAAGATAACAATTTGCGATCCTTGCCTCCGTCTTAACGACAATATCCAAGAGTATAGTTCCCGCCAATATCTGCAATGCATTTGTTGATGTTGTTCGGTATGCTTTAGTTAGATTAAATAGGGGTATTCTTTCAATTTTCCTTATTTTATTAAGTGTTCTTATGTGATCGTTATACCAGATTTCTGCTCCATATGTTATAACCTTTTGCGTGCATTGTAAATATATAAATTTTCTAATTTTCGGAGTAAGTCCCCAGCCGATTCCCGACAGTCTTTTGATTTTAATTTGGAATTTTATAATTTTGTAATAAGTATGGTCGAGATGTGGGAGCCAGGACAGCTGGTTATTTAGACGAAATCCCAAGTAGATAATGTACTTTGACATTTTGTCCATTGAGCTTAACCTTGGGTTTTCCTGTAATTTGACGACTTTTGGGAAAAGCGATAGCTTGGGATTTCCCTGTACTGAATTTCAATCCATATCTGGCGGCCCAATCTTGATATTTGATTAGGATCTCTGTCATTTTGGGTCCCAGTCTATTCAATACTGTTCCAGTTATTGTGACCATAAAATCATCTGCACAGGCTTTTGCCGATTCCTCTTCTAATCTGTTCTCTTCGAGTATATCGTTAGCTGATAAAAGCCATAGGATTGGTCCTAGACTGGAACCCTGTGGCACTCTTTTTGTGATTTCGTGTTCCATAGATATATTTTTTGATTGAAATACTATAAATCTATCAGTAAGAAAGCTTCTGATCATCATCGCGAGAGAATAGGAACAGTTGGTTTTCATCAACTGTCTGCTAATTCCGCTCCAGTGGACACTATCGAATGCACCCTTTATATCGAGTGAAACACCCAGTGTATATCTGCCTGCCTTCTTAGCCCTATTAATGGTATCAATCAACGTCTTCACAGCTGTGGTAGTCGATCTTTTCGTTCTAAATCCGTGTTGGTCTTTATGTATTTTACCATTCGACTTCAAGAAATATATCAATCGGTTTGTTAGTAGCTTATCTAAGATTTTTCTTCACGTGGGGAGCAGAGAAACTGGCCGATATCCATCTGGTAGATGTAGATCTTTTCCCGGTTTCGAAATTAGTATAATCCTAGCCTTCTTCCATATTGTTGGGAAATAGTTCAGTTCTAAACACTTATTCATAACGTTCTGAAACCAAATTGGCTGTAGTTTCCAGATAGCTTTGAAAATTTCATATGGCACCCCGTCAATTCCAGGTGCTTTATTATTTTTAATACTGCCAATTGTCGTTGATATTTCCGTACTTGTAAAAGGTTGTTCCAGATTATTATTAATTATTTCTGGAAATGATTGATCCACGGTCTTGGAAAAATGAAAATTCAATATTTCTTCTATCGTTTCGTGAATATCTCTAGTATAGGTTCCGTCGTTCTTTTTCTGTGGTTTCAGAAAACCGTCTCCTAATATTTTCCCTTTTGCTATCATATATTCCGATCCGAAACAGTCCTGATCTGTGATACTGGCTAGATGGTCCCTCAGTGCCGTCGATTTTCGTTTTCTTATTTGACGCGTGTAAATCGACCTCTCTCTTTTGTATTTCATTTTCTTGAGTTGTCCAGTCGTCTGGTCCGTTTCTTTCTGAAATCTTCTTCGTTTTTCTCTTAAACGTTTTCCAGAAATTGCTAATTCTAGCGTCCACCATTTCGGACTTTTCGGATATGATTTTACCTTATTCTTCTTTGTAGTTAGACAAATGTCTCTTATCTTCTCAGTGGTTATCAGTATATAACTGTTGAGTTGGTCATTTACTTTAATTTGATCGAGATCTTTCCCTATTTTCCTAATAAGTTCGTTTATTTTTATCGTAAAATCGAATAAGTTTAAATCTGTATATACTATCTTCTCTGTTCTTGGTCCTGCTTGTTTTTCAATAATCATTTCCATAGCCAAAAGTCTGTGGACATTCAGTGTCTCCGTGTCAAATACTTGCCATTCTTGAATATCGATTTGCTTGTTTGTAAAAAGAGTGATATCAATCCAGCTGTCACCAATAACTGAATGGAAAGTCGATAACGACTCTGGGTCATTCGCTATCTCTAGGTCCATTAAAGCAATGAATTCTACAAGTTCATTACCTCTATGATCGTCCAATCTGTTACCCCACAATAAGCTTTTGGAATTAAAGTCTCCATTAATCAAAACGTCCTTATCGGGAAACCTAAGCATAATTCTCTGTACAGAATCCAATGTCTCCGTCATTGATGTCGATGGGGGGATATACACAGAAAAGAACAAAAAACTTTGAGTCGGTAGAGTGATCTCTACCACCATCACATCTCTCTCGACCAAGATCGGAAAAACCTCCAGCCATCCTCTTCTATAAAGTATTGCGCCCCTCGGTCGTTCGCAATTTGCGACAATGCCAATGTCCTGTTGAAAACCCACTATTAAATTATCAGTGTTAAAGTACGGTTCATTAATTGAACCAATATTAAAATTTTGGGAAATGAAATCGGTTGAATGCTGTACGTTCGCAATTTTAGTGTGATTTAAATTGATATTAGAAATTTTAATCGGTATTTCACTTTTATCCATAGTAAATTTTCTTAACTAATCTCTCCATTTCCCATTTATACGTTTCACAATTTCTATTGGTAGCATCATGATTGATATTCAACTTCAGATTATGATCCTCTCTTGTTGTCTTGCAGTTTATACATATCGATTTGTTCTTGCAATTCTCCATCGTGTGGTCGTGTTCCGTACAGTTCGCACAGACACTCTTATCCTTGCAATATCTTGCAACATGTCCGAATCGGTAACACTTGAAGCACTGAGTGACCCTAAGAAATTCTTTTGTTCTAATCCTATTCCAACCTATGTTTATTTTTTCTAAATATATGATCTTGTGAAATGTATCTGGATCTACCTCAATCACCCAGTGACTTCCTTCTTTAGCCCTCAGAGGAAAGCACATTTTCATTACCGAGTTTTTCAATGGCGGATTTTGGTCTCTAATCTTATCAATCAAATTCTCTTTATTCACATCTTCCGGTACGTCGTAAAGCCATATTTTGGGATTCAAAGTCCTTGGCCTTGCACAGGCAAATTTGTCTCCTATATTACTTTTTTCAATCTCAAGTTTAAGTTTCTGTATCTCTTCTTCATTTGTTAATTGAACCACTATTCCCCCTTTTCTTATCCTATTTATTCCTCTCACTCCTAATTTCAATTTGATTGGATCTATAGAATTGGTAACTTGACTCCTGGTGTCGTCCGATGCTCCGTTTTCATCTTTAGGGTACATCAACAATTCGTGTTCCTTCGTTTCTGTGTCTCTCTCTCTTGGTCCATCGCCTCTCTCCCTCTGTACCTCCCTATCCTTCATTAATATTGAGGCATAACTAGGTTTTGTCATCTTCACTTGTTCAGTTTTTTCATAAAGTCTTCCCCTTAACTGGTTCAATATTGCGTTTTGTGTATTGATAATGCTTATAAAGTTTGCGGCGATACTCAGTATCCTTTCTCTATCATTAACCGAGAGTTTGGATTTTTTACTCGCCCCCACTGAGCTCATCTGTGTCTGGGCCGTCATGGCTTCAACAATAAAATCCCTTTTGGGGTTTATGGTATCTGGATTTATCGCTGTGAGGTCATTTGCTGGATCATAACCGTCTTCTGAATCTGAAGATTCGTTGACGTCCGTTTCAATTGTGGTGGACATATTTTAATAATACCTTTCAATATGGGTTAAAACCTCAATTTGTATATAACCCCGAAAATATGTTCAAAATTTTAATTTGTGTATGACCCCTTAAAATATCATGAAAACATTGTTTTATATGTGTCCCTTCAGCAACTGCTCAAAACATCAATAGATATTGTTTATTTATAACTCGACCTGCCCTATTTAAGGGCATACGAGTGTAGATTCATGAAACATATATTATACACACATAAAACATCAGAAATAATATAAAATCACAGAAATTTAAAATCACAGATGTCAGTGGCAACAGCCCGACAGAAAAAATACAACATTACAAGTAACAACACAAAAAAAGGAATAACATCAATGACATCTGCCAAAACTGACCCATATATACGACCCCCTGAATACATCAATAGATATACGACCCCCTGAAAGTCGGTCAAAATTTCAACATCAAAGTTCACAACTTGCAATGTGAAGACGATCCCCGAAAAGTATTCAGGTTGCAATATGGAGATGTCCCCCCAAAACGACCCCCAATACGGGAAAGTTAAAATGTCAATTTGGAGTCGGTCCCCCAACACTTAGAAAGATACAAAACAAAATGGCTAAGTCCAATCGGTCACAATAAAGTACTAATTTTATTGAAAAAGGGTAAAGTACTCACTTGAAATCTGGGATTACCTTCATATACAATAGATCACAACACTACATCAATTGGCACACACTACTTGTTGTTAAACATTCATGAAAACATCAAAACATCGGTTTGTTTACGTCCGCCATCTTGTCGATGAAACCGAAAAACACTTATATCTCGATGAAAAGAACTCACAATCTCACCAAATCAAACACACAATACTACGCCATCACAAGACAATCGAATATCCCAAAATTAGCAAAAAATATACATTAATTATCACTTTCTGGACTTAGAAATACTTATTAACATAAACACAACCTTCCGTCGGCATTCAATCTCCGTCAGCAATCGATGATTGATTAATCAGCAATTCATGATTAATTTTCGGTAATTGTTTCAGAAATAACAAAGTAGAGACTGTGGGTCAAATTACAAGGAAATTGGCAGAAGTAGAATCATCACTTATTTTAAACATTTATGAATATCACAGAAATGGCGTGAAGTTAATTGCTATGCAAATGTTTTTATTTTTGAATTCGTAATTTTGTTTTCAATAAAACGGGTTTGTAAAATTTTCTTTATAACAAGAATCTTACACAAAGATCCTTCTTAAAAATTCAAAGATTAAGTGGCTCAAATCTTTTAAGCACCTATGTAAAAAAAGAAGAAAAAAGAAGGAAAAAACGTGAAAAAAATGTTGTTCTAGAACGGTGATAGTCGTATAATGTTGAATGGCTAGTTACCATCCTTGGATGTTAAAAAACTTGAATTTATTTTCCTTTCTCAGCAGATATTAACTTAAAAGCATTTCCCAGAGCTGTAAAATATTTCGTTGTTGCACCGAATCAGTAGTGGAGGCCATTTGTATTCAAGTTTAGCACTCTAAACATGAAAAGTTAAGACATAGTAAAAGAATCTTTTACATGGAAGGTTTGCGTTGTTTGCTTTCTTATGCTAAACGTGTTAGAACATAAATTTGTCACTAGAAGTCTCTAATCTCATGATCGCAATCGAAACATTAGTGAAATTACAATAGAAGGAGATATTCTTATAACGTAGCGAGCTTATTGCAAATTCTAATTTTTTGCTTTTAGGCTTTTAAAGAAACATATCCTCACTCAATAAGCCTCACATATGTCAGGCAATTCGCAACGAGCCCAGACACTTTTATTAAGGGTGACAGCGGTTCCCAAAAGTTGTTCCGCGGAACCCTAGGGTTCTGCCGGAGGTTCCAAGAGTTAGGACTTCTCTTTTAAAATCGCAATTGTTTTTGAATTCTGTAATTATATATCCAAACTATAATCTACTATTTATTTATTATTTCGCGGAATTAATAAAATTACTTAATTAAAATGCCAGTGACAAAAAGGGTAAAATTTTAAAATTTATGTAGATATTTTCTAATAACATAATAATATTGATTCAGAATTTCACATTTGATTATTTAATTAAAAAAAGAATAGCTAAATACAATCATGCAAATTGTATGCCTCCTTGATAACCGTTTATAACTTATTTAACTCTTTCATTTCGCCGACGACCTCAATTCAGCTAATTTTATTCATTATCATAGATACAATAAGAACGAATTCCGTTAAAAACCAGATTAGATGCCTCATTTGCAAATTCAACTGCCTGACATAAACCTAATTATGACTATTATTGATAATGTGATAAAAAAATACTGTTAACTTTTTTAAATATTTTTTATACATTCGTAGTTGAACAGACGACCCAATTTTGGGTTTGCGACTACTTATGTTCAACTCCGCAGCCTTGTAATTTTTCGAACCAACGCAGAAGACAAAGAAACTCCTGGATCACTTCCCCCAGAGGTATTGATTTGATATGGGAACATGGAGGAATTTGCGACTCGACAGATTTAACAAGCAACAGTCACCATTTACTTACACGGGGAGTCTTCAGCCCGCTGGTATCAAACCCACGAACGCTTGGATATGAGCCCAGTGCTCTAACAACAAGGCTATTCCGGCCTTTTCACTGTTAACTTTAAAAATGTTCAAATTAATAAGTCGTTTTTCTGGTTAATATAATCAAAATTGCTCATAAAATTTATTCATAAATCTCGTTGTTCCGCCAAAATATAGATCATTTAGGATAACATAACCGAAAAGTATTTGGGAACAGCTGAACTAAAAAATATATATGTCATAAATTTCAATTAATTAATTTAATTTATTGTAATTCCCTATTTAAAAGCAAGCATAGAGTGAAGACCATTGACATAAGCAGTCTGAGTAATTTTTTCAGAATTTATTTCTAATTAACATTTGAAGCATAATGGCTGAATACAATACGATTTACTAGAAAATAAAAAATATGGAATAAAAAATACTAGAGACTTTGTTTGTTAGCCCAGCACATTGCAAAATATATATGCATACCGAGAGTGAAATATAAATAGGCCAACGATGAGTATATCAAAGTGTCCCAGAACTAGCTGCTTGAGAAACCTGAATATTTTTTCTCATCGATAGTAAAAATTAGTTAAAAGTTTACCAACAGATGATCCTACTGTCTAGAAGACGTATAACACTTTGTTTTCTGTTTCATATCAGACCATTCCAACAGGAATATTTGCGCAGGAATTTTTTTATTTAATTCTCAGACAGAACAACGTTGTTGCTGCAAAATGTATTTAAGTTGTAAACATTGTTTTGTTATCTTTTCTGAGTCAGCATTAGCGCCACCTGTTTGCAGCGTTTGAAACTAAGTTTGAAATTTGATTAGAATAAATTTGTGATTTCTCAAACGCAACTGAGCAAATGATGCATTTCGACCTGAATCCGTTTTTCCTCATTTAGTTTTTTTTTAAAGTGTTGTTTATTTTTTAAGCTGCAGGTAATTGGAAAATTTAAAAAAAAAAACATAATTTGTGTATTTCAAAAGAAATGGAATTTTTCCTTAATTTTTTTTTCCTCCCAATTACTTTAGTTTACGTATTTACTTGTTAACAGATCAGATCAACATAATGATTTGCAAAGCAAGTCTTAAGAATGTATAAAATAAATTGATAATGTAAAAAAATCTTTGAGTTCTAACATGTGCCCAAACATTATTTGTAACTAACGTTTACTTTATTTTTCTATTCCTTCCATTTGACACCGTCCATTTCATAATTTTAGTTTTTAAGGTAAAAAAAATCATCATTGAAAATACCGTAGGCTATGTTTTCAGCAATAAAAATAAAGAAATGAATTAAATATTGTTTCACATGTATGAATTATTAGATTATGTGAAGCGGGAAGAATGAGAAATATCAAATAAAACTATTCTTATTTGCTATTTTTGATGCAGAAATAAACAGTTCTTCTATGAGAGTGTATACACATTTAATGTAATATAACATAATTATCTTCTGACTTAAGTATATGGAGTTGGATTTACATATACGCGAAGTGCTTGTCCTCGAATCAAACACTCGACTCCTTCAAAGGAAATAATACCCGTCGGCGACTAGATAGTTAATTATCTATTGAATCAGAAGTGAGCTGTGATAGTGATGGGGAAAGACGTTTTAATTTGAATTTAAAGCCTATTGGGCTAATATAGGTAAATATCTGGGGTTGGAAGCTCACGACATATTTATTTATTGCTAAGTATTCACAGACTTTCGAACTATTACGGAATTTCTGGTTTTTCTTCAAAACTTATTTCTTATTGTTAGATAATATATGTCTATTGAAATAAATTTTAAAATTTTTTCTGACACTACACATGAACATTTTAATTAGAAGTATTAAAGTTTAGGCCAACATTTTGGATAAGCGGTTAGGTTCTCATAAAACTTTTTCAAGACCCATTTTAACACATGCAACTGCCTACTTTCACTCTTTCTGAGAATGCATTTTCCAAGTGGTAGTAAAACAATTACAGAAAAACAACCTTACTCAAGAATATATTTTTATTTTGACTAGGTTAAAATTCGCTATCATGAAGTTTAGTATGCTTTTGTTGTAATTATTTAAACGTAGTGGTTGTGAAACTTATTTATGATTATTATTATAATTCAAAAATTTTAATGACATGACATGAATTTCGGTACCTCTTTAAATACAAAATTAAAATCTTCCGGAAAAACCGGAAGAGTTGGCAGGTATGCACATGCCTGCCCTGAGCTCACGACAATTATCAGTAGTCTAATAGAAAAATTAGCTAAAACTGAAGGGCAAATAATTGGATGGATCGTTATTGCCCCCAATGCCATCAGCATACCTGCCAACTTTCACTCTTTCCGAGAATCAGAGTGGTTTTAAAACAATAAACGAAAAACAATCTGACTCAAAAATATATTTATTCTTTGATCCCGTTGAAATTCGCTTGCCCATGGATTATTATGCTTTTATATATTTATTGTAATTATTTATATGTAGTGGTGGTCAAACTCATTTATAATTATCATTAAAATTCAAAAAGTTAATTGGAATAACCTGAGTATTGCTACCACTTTAAATATGAAAATAAAAT